TAGAAAAGTGTAATGATTGTACATACAAACAGAATAAAATTATAGATGCTTATTTTTGGTTATGATCTCCAAGTTTTTCCATTTTTTTCTACTTCATTTCAGAGTAATCATTGGAATTTTACTTGCTCTGGTATTCTTTGGAACACTTATTGATGTCTGTGTCTACCAGTTTGCCATTTTCCGACAGCCAACAGAATATGCTGACAAAGAATTACCTAAGATTTCCCAAGTGGTCTCAACTCAAATTCTGCAAACAAAGAAAACTAGTAAATAGACATTTATTGATGTTGAAATTATACAAATTTTATTACATTTTTAAGCTGTTCAGTTTTGGACAACATTGGAAATTCTACAAATTAATTTAGCAAAATTCTGAATCCAGAATGCAATTGACTATATGTGTATACTGCTCATATTTTAGTCTTTTAAGGAGTGGGACTTCAAGCTCTATTGTTTTTTAATTCAGAATTCCTAAACTCCAAAAATGGTTACCAATCAAGACTAGAGAGTGCGATTCACCCTGCTGTTTTATTCAGGTGGTTTTGTGGGTAGAAAACATGGGTATTAGGATGAATTGGATTCAAACTGTGTTTGCCAGAATTTGAACTCTGAAGTTCCATTTTTGTTATGCTTTTAACTGCTAAGTTACCTGCACCTCACTTTAAAAATGTGTTTTAAGATATTAAATGCCTTGAATTGGATATCAAATGAGAATGTATCAAAAATAGTTTCAATTTTTAGTCTCCTCTGTTTTCTGAAGAATATCTAATAATCTACACATGATGTATGTGTGTAATTTCTATATTCTTTTTATAAGAATGCTCTATTTTAAATACTTTTAAAAGAGCTTTTAAAAACCATAGATATATTTTGATTATTTATCCATTAACAGTTTGTTTCACACAGTGCAATTTTCAAAAAGGGCATTTGTTATACTTGGTTGTTCTTGAGCTCTGTAGTTCTTTTGTACATTATTGAAAATGAATGTTTTCACATGTAAATAGTTCAAAATAATTTCATTTCCTTTGTTTGTTAATCCATTCATGTTCTTGAATTCTATCATTTTCAGTTTCTCCTTCATACATAGATTGTAATTTCTTCCCCTGGTTTTCTTTATCTTTTTTTATCCTGATGCTTTCCATTTCATTTTTAGTTTCCCTATATATTTTATTATGATGCTATTTTATATCTTTCACATTTGAATGCAAGCAAACAATTTGCCTATCTTTCTTTAAATTCTTTCCTAGTTGCTTTGATGTAACACTTTTCCTCTTTTGGATTTTCTTATGTTGCCATTTTCACCTTATATAATATATTTTCTTTGAATTTTCCTTGCATTGGACATTTGTTTTTGATTCTACAATTACATTTTTTGTGTTTTTGTATTGTCCCTATTTAGTATTTTGTTATTATATTTTTGTTTTGCTTGGCATTATCCATGCAACTATAACTAATTTTTATACCGTTTCTATTGAGTGCTTCATTTAATTTATGTGTTTTATGAAAATTTTTGTCTATAACCTTTAATATTGTTTCCTGTTTTTTTTTTTTTTTTATCAATATTCTCATTGTATAGTGGATTAAACCACATTCCTTTTCTATTTCTATTTTTGTTTCTACTTTTGGCATATATTCTAATATTGTTTTCATATTCTTCTTTTACATTGTTAAATGTTCTTTTATCTGAAGAATTTTCTATAATTGTTCTACTTATTATCTATTAAAGATGGAGGATGATTTGATTCAATTATATATACAACAATGATTCGGAAAAGTGAAATATTTTGTTTTTGTAAATAACTTTTAAATTTGTTTAAAATTGGATAATTTACAGTATATCAATTTTATATATGTAAATAAACTGACATTTCCTCCCAGACAATTGAAATTTATTTAATCATTTACATATTTTCATGTATTGGTATTTTTGCACATATTGTTTCTTACTCGACCAAAAAGTGGCATCTAAAATTTTCTTATGCAAATGACACATTGTCACCATTTGTAGAGCTAAAAAGAAAAAAGGAATGTATTTCAATATGGAGATATTTTCATGTATTTTTATATAACTAATAAATGATTAGCAAAAGAGAGAAAATATACTAATGTGTTCACAGCTGAAAAGGAAAAAAGACATTAAAAACTTAGCTATTAGAAAATGTGTGTACTTGTGACATGCACATATGTGTGTATCTGTGCATGTGTAAAAATTCAGTTGTCAATTGACCAGGAGAAAGAATATTTCCCCAGTGGAGATTATTCTTGTGTTGGCATTGCTACTACTACATGCTAGGTTGAAAAGAGGCAAGAGAAAGAGGAAGATTATGTTCTTTCTTTTATAGTCTGTAAACAGGTTCATCTAATGGGTGTCTTGACAGACCAAGTAAGTGTAATCCTCATAGTATAAAAAGAGTGGAACCTTACATGTTCAGTTCAGTATATTGTTACCTAGTATCATAAATGGCAAGAGTTAAGGATATATCCTTAATGCTGTCATTCATGCCTTGTGGAAAGCTGGCAAGACTCAAAGGGAAATAGCTGTCAAGGTGGGATATTCTGTCTGTTGTCCCAAATATAACACGATGAACATGTTTAAAATGTTCCACCTACATTACTAACATCAAGACAACAGCCAAAGATGAATTTCAGCTGAATAGGATCCTTATTTCTGATTAATTTGACAATTATGATGAAATTTCCAAAGCCAGGAATGATGCTAATTTAGCTCTTCATCTATCCACTACATTCAGCTTGAATATGATTGCTGGATATTAATTTTAAAGTTACTACTAACTTTTAAGCAGAAACAGAAGTGTTTGAACTAGAGACAATCAAAGTTGGTCTGTTGATCAATGGCCATTTTTAGTGTTTAATCAAAGTTCTGTATTTCCTTCAGTGATCATGGTTCACTTGTCTGGAGCAAGTCCCATGAGAGATATGATGCCAAATGTATGAAAATGTATAAGACTTTCTCAGTCTGTGATGGTTTATGTTTGTATGGTTGTCAACAGTGTCAGACAGATCTGTTTCTTGAAGAGATCAGTTAATGATGCTGTCTATCAGGATGTTCTAGATCATTTTCTTATCCTATACATTGAGGAAAAATTTGAGGGACAATGAATTTATCTTCCAGTGAGAACTTGCTCCACCCCATGCAAAATCTTCAAGAAGAGTTTAAGAAAAATACTATCTATCAAATCATGAAATCTTGATAAACTGAATCAAGTCATTACTAAAATGACATTAGAGGATTGTCATGGGCTCATTAAAACAAGGAATGAAAAGAATAGTAAATGCAAACGGTGTTACAACGAAGTATTAATATTCTAATACAGTGCTTAAAATCGTGTTCATTAATAAATATTTTTGTCTTTTTTTACCAGATATAACAGTCTTCAAATTTAAAAAATGTTACATTTAAAAAAACCTTGGTTTCTTAGTTAAATACTACTATATAAATGTTGTATATCAAATTGATATACCTCTAAGAGTAAACTATCTAATTTTAAAGAAATTCATACAAGAAATATGAAAGTTATTAAAAAAAAAACCCCGGAATATTCCACTTTGTAGGAATTTTTCCCAGTCATGTGTGTGTGCATTTGTGCTCAGCAGTGTGAGCAGTGGAATAAACAAAACCAAAGGCTCAACAGATTTTATTTTGTGGTTTCAAAGAGAGTGTAAAATAGTAGTATTTTGCGAGAAAAAACTAGATTTTTTGTTGAGCAAAATTTCTCTGCTATTTCCCATGTGAGTAATGAGAAATCTGAGTGTGAAACTGTTAGAACTAGCATGAGTCTTTTGCAGCAAGGTTTGTGTGTAGTTTTTCATTTGGATAAGTGTCTCAAAGAGAGACTTCTCTACCTTGTCCCATGGGAGGAATGAGAAATCTGAAGCTGCTAGGACAGGCCTTGTATTCTGTAGCAAGATTTGTGTGTAGTTTTTCATTTGGATAAGTGTCTCAAAGAGAGACTTCTCTACCTTGTCCCATGGGAGGAATGAGAAATCTGAAGCTGCTAGGACAGGCCTTGTATTCTGTAGCAAGATTTGTGTGTAGTTTTTCATTTGGATAAGTGTCTCAAAGAGAGACTTCTCTACCTTGTCCCATGGGAGGAATGAGAAATCTGAAGCTGTAGGACAGGCCTTGTATTCTGTAGCAAGGGTTGAATAGACTTTGAGCTAGGCTTGAAGTTTGCATCTGCTGAAAATAAAAAGTGGGAAAGAGTTGGCTGTGAAGGTAGAGGCCGCTGAAATGGAAAATGAAAAAGACATTGAATATGGGTCTATTAGCATTTTAGGACTTCTGTGACTTCTTGTTCTACCCTGCTGATTATTTTCATTGCTGCTACTGCTGAATTAGACAAAGTAAAGAAGCCCCTACATGCCACAATAGACAACAAGTGACAAAGTTCCTATAATTTTTCTGAATTTCTGTTGTATATATTCTTTTCTTTAGATGGTTTGTATTTATTTTCCTCTAAGTTTAATGTCACATCTAAAAAAAAGCCACTTCTTTTAACTTTATTTTTATATCTATTTCAAAACTTATATTTTTAAATTGTTTAATCAATGTTTTCTTTAATTTATCTAAATTATGATACTATTAAATTATGATAATCTTAAGTATAGTTTACTCAGAGATAGTCTTGTGATATGTACCTGAAATAAGCTTTGAAGTAAAAGTCTGTAAAGTGAATATACTTTTGATACAACTTAATACTTTTCATAAATAAATTTCAAGGAAGATAAAGTTAGTTGTATATTTTACTATGACATCAGAAAATCAGTGCCAGTTTCCTGTGGAAGTTTTGAAATAAATTTTGTGGATATGCATATATATTTCAACAAAGATGGTTAATAAGTGTTTTTTTTCCTTTTCAGACAATCTTCTAGAATTCTTTCTCTGTTTTTCTGTTTACAAGAATGGTAGCAAAATTCTCAACACAACTGTTTCCAAAGGGAATTTGACATCAATTCATGGAATCCGTTTTATATCAATGATGTGGGTTATTTTAGGTCATACATATATCTTTGGAATATCAGTCTGGAGTAAGTAAACATTTTACCTCTCATAATAAAAATATATTTGCATTATTTGCAAACGAAAGGGTATCAATGTGATCAGTACAAAAAACATTTATTAAATATTAATTATTAACCACAAGACAGAAATGAAGCATGGAAACTACTGTTTTAAGTAGAGAATTTTTGGGCACGCTTGTGTCCTTCATCAGTGGTGCAAGAAATAAACAGAGAAATGGTGAAGATTCACCAACAGTTGTTTTTGTGGCCAGTATGAATCCTGGTGTAGATATTATTATTAGCAAAAATCCAATCTCTGTCTGATTCCTTGCCATGCAAAACTTCTTATGAAAATAAACTTAGATTCAAAATTTGAATTGGTGTGAAAGTGTTAGGCCATTTTGTCCTTATTAGTGTGGGTAGTAGGAGAGTGAGATTTTGAATATAGAGGAAGAAGATCATAGGAATTGAGGTGGGGAAGATGTCTTATGTGTGTGTTCAGTGCTGAAGACTGTTCATGTGTGGTTAGTGCCGAAGACTGTTCGTCCAAGACATTTGGTGAGACAGGAAAAGTGTGGGGAACAAAGGAAAAAAGGTAATAAAAATAAAATGAAAGAAAAAAAGGAAAGGAACAAATATAAGGATGTAACATCTTGATATAAAAAAGTTTTTTTTGGAAAACCATTGTCAGAAAAAGGGTACAGAAAAAAATAAAAAAAAATAAAAATACTATAATAATAATACAGGAAAAAAAGGGGAAAAGTGCATACAAATATACATGTGCTGTATACATAAGTGCACCTAACAGTGTGTAAATATACACTAGCTCCCACATAAACTTGTGAATCTCAACTTATGTAAAGATATGAATACCTAATACTAGATTAATATGCATCTGTACCAACTTTCCTCATTCTTCACATAATCTTGTATATAAAGGAACTATAGTTGTAGAACCAAAGATGGTATAGAAGAGGGTGATTGGGAAGTAATCCTCAGGGTACATGGCAGTACTTCCTTTACTGAAAAGTGCATAATGGGGGAAATCATAGGTGTCAAAGCAGAAAAAACAGTAGGAGGAACATGGCTGTTAAAATTTGGATTTAAAATGTGGGGGGAGGGCCTACTCGTTCGAGGGTGGTGTTGCTGGTAATGGGTTTCTTTGTGGAAATTATACTCTCTGAGTAAACCCAAATCTTTGTTTAGTCCTTTTATGTAGGAATTTACTTTTAGGATATACTTCAACTCTGATCTGCATCTATCCTCTTGGCTGCCAAACCCAGACACTAAAAGCACGCACATGATGTCATCGATGTTGTGACCAGGTTGGTTGAAATGTACAGATACTGGGAAATTGTTGTTGTTGTCCCTGATGCTTTTCTTATGGTTATTGAACCATAAATGGAACTCTGTTCTGGTTTCTCCCACATAATTTCCCTTCTCACATTTGTGGTAGAAGAGTAGATATATGAGATTGGAACTGTCACAGCTTAGAGCAGGTGGTCTGAATACTATGTGAGTCCCAGGGTGAGGGATGTAGGTGTTGTAAGTGTTGATGTGTTTGTAGACCAGGCACTGGGGTTTTTTGAAGTTGACATTCCCTTAGTGTGGTAATGTGTTGCAGATTTTTGATGATGTTAAAAGTCTGAAGTGGTTGGGGGGCTGTCAACTCACATTTAGGGGGTTATCACTAAATGAATTGCTAATAGTCCTGTCTAATTTTAAATGATGGAAATCTTTAGTTAATATGTGGGAAAGTTTGTGGATGTTATAATTAAAATAAAAGACCATGGGATTCTGGAATTCTTCTTTTTAGTTACATAGTTGAGAGAATGTTTCTGTTAAGTTTAGAAGCTTTGGTGATGGATACTTTGATTATTTTGGGTGGGTAATTCCTATTTAGAAAGTGATTGTAAAGTTGTCCTATGTCTAAGTTGTAATCTTCCTTGTGAGAACAGACACGTTTAATGCATATGCATTGGCTATAGATTATAGATTTTTTTAGGTTGGTGGAGTGGCAGCTATTCAAATTAAGGTAGTAGTGGCTATCAGTGGGCTTGGTGTATAGTGTAGTGGAGATCTGGTTGTTTTTGAGATGTACCAGTGTGTCCAGAAATGGAATGGAAGTGGTGGAATATTCCATAGTGAATTTGATGATGTGGTGTATGTTATTCAAGTGCTTTTTAATATTTAGGAGATTTTTCTCTCCATGTGTCCATATGAAGAAAATGCCTTCTATGTACCTGTGGTAGTGTAGGGGTGCCAGGTGGTACTTACTAAATATATCTTGTTCAAGGGCATCCATGAAAATGTTAGCAAAGTTGGGGGACATTTTCGTTCCCATTGCTATGCCTCTAACTTGAAGTAAATTGTGCTCATTGAACTGGAAGTTGTTATGTGTGAGTATAAAATATCTCAAGTATTCAAATTATCTCAAATCTGGTGCTTGGGGAAGTCTCTGGTGCTTAAAAGTTTTGCAGGCTAGTATACCCTCCTCATGTGGAATGCTAGAATATAAGGACGAAACATCTAAGGTCACATGGAGTACATTGTCAGGTAAACTATGTTGCTCAGGATTCTTAGGAAATGGGTAGTGTCTTTAATATAGCTAGGGATAGAGGGTAATAGAGGCTTGAGGATTTGGTCAATATAGCCAGAGATGTGTTGTGTCAGGGTTCTTTTACCAGAAGTTATAAGCCAGTCAGGTGAATGGGTTGCTGTTGATGTCTTCTGTAGAGAGGTTGGTGGTTGTGTCTTTGATTATTTTAGGGAGTTTGTGTACTTTGGAGAGGGTGTAGAATGTGCTGGGTTCGGGACTATCTGGGATCAAAGCTTTGATTGGTGCCTGTATGCTGTGGTTTAGATGGCTGATAAGAGAATGGAGTTTAGTCATGAAATCTTCAGTGGGATATAGGGAGAGTTTTTTATAAAAATATGGATCACTGAGCTGGGATCTGCTTCTGCAATACATTTACTCTTGTCCATGATAGTAATTGAACTGCTCTTGTTGGCTTGTTTTATAATTATGTCTTTGTTAGCTTGGAGGGATTTTATGGCCGTCCGTTCTTGTCTGGTGATGTTGTAATTGTGGTTTAGATGGAGGTTGTTTTGTATGAACTTGCCTAGGTGGTTCCTGGCAGAAAAAAGACAAAAAAATCCCATTTCTTGATACATTGACAGACAGTAATATTAATACATTTACTAGCTCTGCATATATATAAAAAAAACTAGCATAAACATATACATTCTCAAATATAAAAGTGAATGTTCTAATTATTACAAAATAGCTATTATATGAAATTTAATGAACCCTCCAAAATCAAATTCTTCAACACGAAAGACTTTCTACACTGAATAAAAAAATATTAAACAAACTCACATTAATAATCACTTTCCTAATTACATTGTTGATGAATAAATTAGAGAAACTATTAGAAATATTAACATAAATAAGAATGAATACAATACAGAATCAAATAACTCTAAATATATCAAATTACTATACTGTAATCAAATGCATTCTAACTATAAGCAAGAGGAAAAAACTAAAAAGACTCATAAACACTAATATGTCCCCCACTGATTGAAGTAAAAAAAATATAATGAATTACTATACTAAATAAAAAAATATAATGAAATACTATACTAAATTTAATACAACCAACTTATTTGTCTAAAACAATTCTTCTCTGTCAACTGGCATCTTACAAAAGGCCAACATTGTATATAGATTTAGTTTACAAAGATATTTCACAGTTTAAACAGATATTAGTTGAAAATACATCTATATTACATAAAAATAATAGTAAGCAAAAACTAAAAATCCTAGAAGCACTTTATATAAAAGAATTAAAGCCCAAAATAAATAAAGTCAACAAGGAGTATAGCAACAAAGTTCTTAAATGTTTATAACAGCAAAAAAAAAAAAAATTATATATATATATATACATATGTATGTGTGTGTGTGTGTGTGTGTGTGTGTGTGTGCAGAGGGTGAACTGTATCTGTAGTTCTTATTTGTTTTTATCATTAATTTTGGTCAGTCCTTGTGTTGGCCAAACAGCCTCTTTCAAGTTGTTTTTAAGATAGAGACTGGGAGATTCCTCTATCTTAAAAACAACTTAAAAGACACACTGGGTTGTGTATTAATATTTTTTTGTTTTATTATTTCAATTAAGTTCTTTCACTAGTTTCAGGAGAAAAAAATTCCTGCTTGTTAGTAGCAGTGAGCTACAGGAGTGAATAACTGTCTCTGAAGAAAGTGAACTTTATCTGTAGTTTTCATTTATTTTTTTATCGTTAATCCTTGTTTATCCTTGTATTGATTAAATGGCCTCTTTCAAGTTGTTTTTAAGATAGAGGCTGGGACATTCCTGAGTACCAGAATTCCCTCCTTGGTCATTTTGATAGTTTTATTGATTGCTGGGAATGAGATATGTGTGTTAAGTGTATGTTATCTTTTAGTTTTTTGGGAGTGTGTGTGATGTGTGCATGTGTATATATTTGTGTGAGTATGTGTATATGTGTGAGACCTCAATATCTCTGCAAGCATGTCTGTCTTGTGTGTGCGATAAATATGGATAGAACTTGATTTATGGGATTATCTATTAACTGTATCTGTGTTGTTAAATTTGTGATTAAGTCCATCTGGACAAAGGGTTTTGGAACGCAAAATCCATTTGTCTTCATGTTCTTCTAGTATTTTTCTAAAGTTATCTTTATCTGTCCATTTCTATTTTTTTCAATCATAGTGAATTTTCATGGTTTTTAAAATCATGTTTTTCTATGTGGAAATGTTGTTCTCCAGGTAATAATAATCTTTAGTGTGGAGCCTACTTGATCCGATTCTGATAATTATTAATTGTGTAGAGAAAGGACCATTCAGATTTTTCCACATATTATTTCTGGCATAGTGTGCATTCTAATAGGTAAATTATGTTATCACTTTTACAGTTAGAATTGTGGTAGGTTTTGAAAGTAGATTTAGTGACTGAGCTAGAGAATGAATTGGTATGTTTTATGTGGTTACAACATAGGCTCCTATGGTTGGGAAAATCCTGTTGTTTTTATCAGTGGTCTATTATGGGTTACTTTATCATCTGAAATTTAGTTACTACCTATAATTTCCTTAAGGTTCTTAGGTCTATGATATGCTAGAAGGCCGGGTTCCTCAAACAAAGTTTTGGGGTTTGGTTTGAGATGTAATATTTCCCAGCGACTTTTGATTATCTGAGATAGTGGAGGAAGAGTGGTGTTGAAAGTGATTACTAAAGGGATGCGTCTGGATTTATTTTTAATTTTATACATTAAGGTATCTTCTCTAGGTGTGCAAATTGTTTTATTTAGTTGTTCCCTGATTAGGTGTTGTTTATAGCCACATGTTGTGAATTGATACTCAAGATTTTTAGTGTGTTTACTTAGTTCTTCATTGTTAGAAAATATCCTTCTGTGTCAAAATGCTGGTGAATAGGGAATGTTCTCCTTAAGGTGTTTTGGGTGGGAAGACTGAGAACTGTAGATAATTGTGGGTGTCAGTGATTATAGTGTGTAGTGTCATTTGTAGTTTTCTGTTTTTATCAATGTAGATGCAGTTGTCTAAGAATGTTAACAATCTTATTGATTTTTTGTGGACGAACTTAATGGAGTCATGTACGGTATTTAGAGTCATAAAGAATTCAGTGAGTTTCTCCTCACTGTCTGTATGTGTGAAGAAGATATCATTGATATATCTTGCATAGAATATGCAGTTGTTACTGATGAATGGATAAATATAGGTCTCTTCTAATTTTCTAATGAAGATTGTGGCATATGATGGAGCTGCAACGGTGCCCATGGCACATCCTCTTACCTGTAGGTAGTGCTTTCCTTTGAGATCAAAAGTATTTAATGTAAGAAGATGTTCCATAAGTTTTATGATTACTTCTGGTGGAGGGTCTTGTTTTGTTCTTTTATTAAGTGCTTCTTTAAGTGCGGTTAGTCCTTCAATGTGTTTGATATTTGAATAAAGTTATCTTACATCCATGGTTACTAGAGTTGCATATTCTGTTGTGTCTCTGATGTAGGATTTTACTTCCTTGGCAAGGGGCTGTATGTAGTGGTCTAAGTATTTGGATATTTTAGTCATGTGGCAGTTAAATGATGAAATGACCTTCCTTTCTGGGTTGTTGTTTTTGTATATTTTGGGAAGGAGATAAAAGCAGGCAGGTGTGGTGTTTGTGGCGGGTAAGTGTTGTGCATGTTTCCTTGTTAATTAGTCTATTTTGAAGTATCATATTTAGTGAGCATGTTCATTTTTTTTTTGGTATCCAGGGAGATGGTCAGTGGGTAGGCTTTTGTGGGTGTTTTTATCGGCTATCTGAGTGTTGACTTCTTTAAGGTATTCTTTGATTCCCCAGATCACTGTAGCACCACTTGTGTCAGCTTGTGTAATGATTAGGTCATCTCTGTGTGTCAGCATGTTAAGGGCCACCTGTTCCCCTTCAGTGATATTGTTATATGGCAGCTTACATACTGTTGTTTTCTTTGTGTCATTTGTTATTGCCATTTCAAATGTCTGTATAGTGATGTTTGTGTTTTGTGGTGAATGTAGAAACAGAGATATGTGTTTTAAAGGAAAGCAAATGTCTTACTTTAATTTGAATTTCTATTTATATATATATATACTTTTTTATCTGAACTCACCACATATGCATGTGTGATATGTACTACTCCAAATTCAGAGAATTTGACTATGAAAAATATATATTTCATAACATTTGTAGTTATGCAGCAATCACACATAAAGTAATATCAGAAATCCATAACTATACAAATTTTCTAAAATTTGGGTAGCACCTTGTGTGTATAGATGTATACAGTTATGTATAAAAAAAATGCTTGCTTTTCCTTGTCAGCGTTTTATTTCAATTAAAATGTAGCTTATGAATAAATTCTAAATAGCTGTTCAACTGATCTTTGAATAATGTTAGGCTATAAGTACTTATTTTTGTATCCTATCTTTGTGGGATTTGTAAACTTACATGCCAGTATTTTTATGATGCATCTGTTATTGTGAAAAAAAATGAATTTTGATTTGTGATTCAGGACAGATTTTGGCAGATTATAGAATATCTTATTTACTCACTTGTATCTGTTTGCAAAAATTGTATATTTCTTTTTCTTATTTACTTTTTAGGAAATATGGCTACTTTGCTGTCTCTTTTCAAAAGGTTCACATTCCAAGTTATTTCCAATGCACTTTTTTCAGTTGACACTTTTTTTATGCTCAGGTGAGTCCATCAACATAATCTTATCATATTCTGCTTCAGATGACTTCAGGTGTTTTTTTTAATCAAAGAGTGAAGAAGGTGTAGTAAAAAAAACTAATCAATTTAAATTTTACAGACAAATATTATCTCAATATAAATAAAACTTAATCATCATATACTATAATGTCAGTAGATGTAAGAATGTTACTATTAGAATCTATTCTTTATTCCATGCATTTTTCACACTAGTGTATTCTTCCTTATAGTTTTAATGCAGGATTTTATATGGTATGTTTTTTGACCTCTCACAGATGTCTTTAGAAGCTGCTTAGTAATAATGATTTCCAGTCTCCTGGCTGTAACATAAACTTGAGAAAAGTCAAAGAATATATCAATCAAAAAGTTGTGCTGAAACAATAAACATGAAAACAGTAACATGAATAATTTGTGGAATAATGAAATTTTTCAACTAAGACCTTCAGAATAGGAAGGATGATTTTTTAAAATTTATTTGTTGACATCCACATTGTTAGAAGAATCCTGTGATGACACTGTACTATGTATTAATTTCAAGATGAAATAGCTAGAAAAATAATCTATAGATACAAGCAATAATACACATCTACAATTCATTATTGTTGTGATGTCAATGAACACTCGTAAAATAAAATCATCACAGGAATGTAACAAAATGGACTGGAACCATTATTCATCAGACTACAGGTGAGGCACTGTGTGTGATGTTTTGGTGTTAATAAGAAGCACTGCAGTTGGTCTACTGCTCCTATATTCCATGCAAGTTAAAGAATGTTGAATTGACCTGCTGGACATGCATCTGCATTGAATGTAGATGTAATTTAAGACAGTGTTGTTTGTTTGTTACTGCAGACAATGCTAGCTAGATGCCTTTGGTCATGATGATTAAACAGGCACCATAAATAAATGGATGTCAAACATTCCCAGAATTTTAAAAATGGAATGTCCTATGTTTGGCACCCACTATCATGCCCCATTCAAACTTTGACAATTCACCTTGCCTAGTCATTGTTCACATCGTCTCATCAGATGTCAGGGCACACTTGATACAAGTGTATGTTGCCTTTATTATTATTGAAAGAATTTTGAATTTTGAAATCTTTCTCTGAGGAAAATATGCTATTCTTAATTCATAGTTCATTATATTTAGCATCAATGCTGGAGATTGAACTTCCACCTTTTGCTAATCTTATGTCAAATTATCCCCTTTGTGTGGCTTCACTACTCACTTATGAAGTGATCTGTTCCCTAACTGTCTTTCAGAATTCATTTCCCAACACAGAAATGAGTTGTTAAATGAAACTCACAACTGCTAGAATGAAAACAAATAGTGACTGGGAATGTCTTCCTTGGATTTGTTATTTGAGGATGATTCAAAAGGTTTTGATGAAGATTTTAGCCACAATCAGTTTCTTTTCTCTATTTCAGTGGATTGTTGGTAACATATGGCATCATGAAGGCAATGAAGAAACAGAACAACAAACATAACTGGGTTTATTTCTATGCTCATAGATTTTGGAGGTGAGTGTCTGTATATGCAAATTATAGTATCTTTAGATACCAAGTTCATAGATCCAGATGATCTTGTATTATAAGAACTAATAAAATAAATGCTATATAGTAATACTATTAATATCAATAACAGTTGTGGAATAATGCAATTAAATTTAGATTTGATGTTCTTTGAATTGTAGTTGGTTAAAGTAGTTGGCATTTTCACATCTGGGGTAAAAATGATTGACATCCTACTCACTCCTGTAGACTGATGATTTTTGTAACAAAAAGCAACTAAAAAAAAATAACAACAGTAAATACTAGTTCAAATTAGTAATGATAATGGACTTTGCAAATTGTTTAAGTGTGTAAGGTCCAAAGGAGAGCACTTTGAAGGAGACTAAGGCACTGCGTTTTCATTAATGACTGGATATTTTCTGGACAGACATTAATGATTTCTTTCAATGCTTTAAATGAAATATGATGCAAATGGAAATGTTCCTCATTAAATCTTCTTTTCTTTCTTATTTTAGACTTACTCCACCTTACATGTTGGTCATGATGGTTTATATTCCTTTGTTTCAATACTGGGGAGATGGTCCTTACTGGCCACAAACTGGCATTGAAATCAACTATTGCAAAGACACGTGGTGGTACAATCTTTTGTACATTAATAATTTCCTGACTGATATATCAAAAGGAATGGTTAGTCTTCTCTGAATCTAAAATTCTACTCAAATTTACCATACTTAAAATACACACTGACATATAACACCCAAATTTAACAAAGAATATTTCAGAAAAAACTCATAAAGTACAATTTCCATGAACTTTATAGTCTTCCTCTCAGTAGTGTTTTAGTCCAAGATTGTAGGCTCCTAGATATTCTACTGAACTACTTAAACAAAACATGCAACAAATCTTACAAATATAGTTAAGCTGCTTTTGTCATCAAACATTATTTAGATTTTTGTTGCTTGTTCTTTTGTTTTATCTCTCCCAGATCAGCTATTCAGTTATTATTGGCCAAAAATACATTTTCTGTTGCTCTGTTTCTATGTTTCTTTGCATAACTGACAATGATCAGTTTGTAGGATATGATGTAAGCAAGTCTTTTCTTTGCTCTATGTTAAAAATGTCCAGTTAGCTGAACATACAGTGTATCTACCTCAAACACTATCAATGGTAATCCCATATCTAGAGCTTCAAGGTATTGTAATTATTTTAGAGATTTTAGATAGTTTTTACATCATCATCTGATGATTCATTCATACTTATATATTAGTTTTTATATTTTAATATTATTTTAATTTGTAATCATAATTTAATTATTCATAATCATATGGGATAACAATATATAAATTTGTTATATATCAAAAGTACAATTTTACTGGAAAGAAGTATGATAATGTGGAAAAAGTTTTTGTGTGATGCATTTTGTCCCTTAGGACTTCATCAGACTAAAAACTCATTAAATGTATTAGTTGCTCATCATGACGAGACTGGCTGCAATTTTGATTTAAAAAGTGTTACTCTAATTTAAAGAGAAAACAATTTACTAAGACAAAAATGTTTAGAAAGTGCTTTTAATCACTAGATCATCCACAGAAAATTTCTGTCCAGTTTCTTACAACATTTGACCTTTCTTGGCAGATCTTCTATTATCACAATGTGGGATATTTAATAAGAAAAATGATGGAAACAAAAAGAAAAAGAATCTAAATGAAATTGGCTAAAGAAAGAAGAAAAATATCATTTTAAATTTAAAATTCTTAGTATCCTCTTTCCTTCATGCGCATATGTAATCACATCACTATAAACGTAAACTTAGTTTGATGAAGTCTTAAAGAATGAAACATGTTGCACAAAAAACTTTTTCCAGTTTGACATACTTCTTTTCCTTATAATTGTATATATTTAGATTTAGGTCATCAGGGGATTTGTGTGTCAGAGGTGTTTCAATGTTCGTTTGGTATTGGTAATCTTTACCCCATTTATGATTGGAAAACAGAGAACTCAAGTATTTTATTATCTGTCACACACAGAGTTTAGAATGTAGGAGAAGTAGGTAACTATTAACAGGTATACCCACTTTATTACTTAATATAAAAATCATTATATATAAGGTAGAGTATTTTATTTAATCATTAACAGATTGTTAATCATCATAAATTTTCTAACTTAAACACTATATATATATATATATATATATATATATATATATATATATATATATATATATATATATATATATATATTGTTGCTTGCCTATAGTTTGAAGTTTGTCTCATAAGCATTTAATAGCGAGTGTGTTTTTTCACTGGGATTACAGTTACCATTGTCTTGTCAGACATACTAAGCTAAAATTCACAAATATAATTACTAAAATATTGTTAAAACATGACTGCCAAAATATACCTTATATATAAGGGGGTGCTGAAAAGTTCTCAGCCTAACCCACTTCCCAAAATTTGTCCAAATGACTTTGTAAAAGATGGACTTCTTGGTTAGGCTGACAACTTTCCAGCTCTCTCTCTCTCTCTCTCTCTCTCTCTTTCTCTCTCACACACACACACACACACGTATGCATAAACATAAAAATCATAAAATACGTAATTTTTAATATATATAATTCAATTGCTTTTGGTGTTTTGTAAGAAATCAAATTTAAATCTTTAAAATATTCTGAAATAATTACTTATATTTTCACTTGATATCTAGTCAGTTGTTTGTGTAGCTTTCATTCTTTTCCAATTTGTTCAACAGTGTATGGCATGGACTTGGTATCTTTCAAATGATATGCAGTTCTATGTTATCAGTCCTTTGATATTGATCCCATTGTACAAGTAAGTAAATCTCCTTCTATATGACATCATTTACTTTCTAAAAAAGACAATTTTGCTTGCAATTTACGTCAAATTTTATCTTAGAATCTTAGACCATTGATGTAAAAATTATACAAATAGCCATAGATCTAAAAATTACATGTCAAGCCATGACTTATTGATACAGCCTTATATTATTGCCAACCTTTAGATAAAGCACTTTCACTATATTATCACTATATTAGTTTTACACCATCTTATTATTGTTGCCTTTTATCATAACACACTGGGTTGATCCACACTTCAACCACCAGTGCAAACTAATTTGAGGGTGTCAGCTTTTGTGGAAGAAGAAATTGTGAACTGAGAGAATTGCTAAAAAATGAACAATAATAAGATAAACTAAATGTGGTAATAGAAATTTTCAAGGCAAATTTTTACATGAAGGACAGGAAGTGATAAAATTCAAATACATTTTGTTATAAACAAATATTTACTTAATATTTTAAAAAATATGGAAAGTGTTGTTTTTATTCCTTGTCTTATTATTATTGAAAGAAACACAAAACAGTGTTTTCCTTCTAATTACATAAAATTACTTCTAAATGCAAGACAGAGCATATCGTCAGTATTAGACATTTTAGAGTATGTAGACTTTTAGAGTATTTCGTATAAAACATATTAGTAACTATTTAATAACTACTTGCATTACAGAATGAGTATATGTTGTTATATATTACATTTCTTTTGTTACATAACATTATATCTCTCCCTAAATTGTTTTTTTTTTCATTTTAAAGATTGAATTTAGTGCAAACAGTGAATCTGCATTTTCTTTTTATCATGAGAAATTTTCGTTTCTCCCAATTGTCTCTTTTTCTTTCAGAAAGCCCAAACTTGGTGGACTCATATTGCTTGTCCTTCTGTTGGCTCATTTTATTTCATCAGGTGTAATCTCCACTGTCAATGGTTTTGGACCAAACATGTTTGGCACCTCTGGGACACCGTAAGTCTTATTTAAAATAGGTCACTGGTCATAAATGTTACAATGTTGATTATCTACAAAAGCAAGATCTGCTGAGTAAGGAGATCGAGGTTCATGGGTTCCTCAAAATAGCCTATCATTCTGAAACAAAATTAACCACTTCAATTTGATTAGATCGATCAAACAGTAAAAAATAAATTTTTAATTTAGAACCATCAAACAATCAGTAAAAAATAAATTTTTAATTTTATTTTTTTAATGGTTTATTTTTTAGTTTTAATTTGTCTGCAACTACAACAATATACTGCCTCTAGGGAGCAAAAGATGAAACCACGTCATAAATGAATGTAGTAAGATGACCTAGAATGAATACAAAAACAGGCAAGACTGGATAGGATCAGTGAGAACTGTGCAAATAACTTAGATTCAACCATCTAAATAAATGCTATCAACACAAACTAGAGGTTCTCACTAAATGAAAATAAGATACTTTGGGACTGACCATCCAGATTGACCAGTGTTACCAAATGCAGTTGTTAAGATCAGTCACAAGTCTGTTCTTATTCATAAAATTTTATAATTATTTGACATTTAAGTATTGTCATATGTTGAGCATTAAACAAACTTGAAGTTTGTGATTAGCATAAAAAACAGAATAAAATTATATATATATATATATATATATATATATATATATATATATATATATATATATATATGTATATAAATTGTGTATTTAGGCAGCAAGCCATCATTTATACATGTTTCATTAAAGATGACAGACAAGGTACTTCAATTAAGTTTTTATTTAATTTTTCTTGTGTTCGAACAAGTGTTTTCTTTTCTGGACACAGTGTGTGTAGAAACTGCTTAAATGTCCAGTAATTCTGAGTGTTTTCAGCTATACTTTTAGCCATTATCAAAGATGATTTTATTTTTATTTTTAATTGGGTGTATGGGTTGTGTATATGTTATAGGAATGTTTTATTTTCTGAACACAGCACATTGTGGCTGTGTTTGTAGTTAATATTATTGAGTGTTGGCTTTTTTTTTATTATTATGACTCATATTATTTTTAATCTTTTTTTACATGTGTATGGGTTTATTATGTTTGCATTTTCTACAAGTATGTTTAGGATGGAGACTGGTAATTTTGTGTGTATGTTTAAATGTGTAGCTGTGGTCAGATAGGTGTAATGTAAGGCATCTGGATAGGCATGTAGTAGTGTGACCAATGTAATTATTTATGAATTCTGTTTGATCAGGAACACAGTTCTTTAAAGGGTATTTGAACTCATAAATAATGTTCGTTCATTGTAATTTTGATTTTGCTGGTGTGTTGTTATTTTTGAGGATAAGGTTAGCTGTTTTAAATTTTTTGTAGTAGATAGTTAATTTGATTTTTTTGTTTAGGTCAGTTGGCTGCATCTTCACTATCATTGTTATTCACTTTGAAAAGAAATAATATAATTAAATAAGGTGGTTAGGGAAGTCGTTGTTAAATAGTTTTGTATTATTGAGTTTTTTAAGGAAGAGTAGTCAACGGGATGAATTCTGGTGTGCTCTTTTTAGGGAGTTTTTATCACTGCTATTTTGTATCTGAGTATACATGTGGTGAAAGCAACCATAGTTATCTCCCCCTTGTAAACACTACTATAAAAAGTAATGTGTAGTGGTCAAATTGCTTTGAATAAAACTTCATTACAAGCTTAAAGGTTTGTCTGTTTTCTTTACAATTTATTCAAAGCAATTATGGAAAAGTATCTGAAGCTCAAACACTTAGATCTAGATGTGTTTAACTCAAATACTATTGATAGTTTAGTTGGTACTACTGGAAAACTTTATTCAATAACTTATTTGATAGCCCTAGAGACTTCTTGTCCATGAGAATATCAGGGACTGAAAAGCTTACTCTATTATTTTGCCATATCTCCACATGGATACATACAAATATTTCTTCTTACAAGGACTATGAAAGTGCTGTTGATGTTTTAGTAGAAATGTTCATTAAGAAAAAAAATTCATTTTTGCTTGTCAACTACTCACTGCTAGATGACAACAACTGGATGAAAATTTGAACCAGTACCTAGAGTGCAACTTGATAGGCATTGATAGCAGAACAAGCCTGGGACAAATTTATTAATGGAATATTGTCTCACCAAATAAGTTTGAGAATAAAACTTTAGACATGACCACTGCTTATGGCTAAGTTATCTTACTCCATCTTATATGTAACCAGAATCACAACCAGGCCCTGTTTTGTTAAAAAGACATATCCATCAGAACAAATATAATTCACCAGTGAGTAAGGTGGAATCTGTTAAGAATTCAATACTGAGCCTCTGATCCTAAAGAGAGTTGTGTCCATGAAACTGAAGTTGGTTGAAAGATAAGTCACCTGAACCTTATTAATTTACTGACTATTGTCACTCTCGTTCTCTTTTGAACACTTTCTTAACAGAACTTCTGCTCACCATTTAAGTGAGCAAAAGTTTTGTCAAGAAAGTTAAATTCAAATAATTTTACATAGTTTGATAGGTGTTATTGATTTGCTTAATTATTTGTAAATAAATATATTATTATTTACATTACTTATATGAAAATGACATTGATTAGGATTTGTCTTTCATCAATGATATTGATTTTTTTTCAAGAGTTGATTACTTCAAGGATATCTACATAAAGCCATATACAAGAATTGGACCATACTTGATTGGAATGATGTATGGATATCTTCTCCACCAAAATAATTGCAAAGTATACATAAACAAGGTGAGATTAATGCAATGTTCATTGTTAGATTTAAAAATGTAAACATAAAATAGTTATATGAGAAGATAACATAAAAATCAAATAAAATCCTTTTTCTAATATATTCTTATAGTAAAATCCTCTTCCAATACATTTCTTTACTAAAATCACCCTTCAAAATATTTTTATAATAAAATCCTTTTCAAATGCATTGATATAGTAAAATCCTATACCAATATGTTATTACAGTAAAATCACCATCTAGTGCTTACCTAAAATCTCATTCATATTTATTCCTCTTTCAATGTATTTTACACTCAAATCCCTTTATATTTCATTCCTCTAGTAAAATTCCTTTACAATAATCAACGCCAATCCTATAATCAAATCTCTTTATATTTCCAATGCATTCATATAGTAAAATCCATTTCTGTTGCATTCCAGTGCTTTTTCTATAATAAAATCCCTTTTCCATATCAGTTCATTATTTAAACAAAATCCTAAATAAGTTCTCTGTGTGACCCACTTCTGAAAACTTAACCATCTGATCAAATATCAGATTTTCTTTTGGAAAGTCTTTTTGTTTGGACAAAGAACTTTTCAACATTCCTCTGTATATAAGAAGCATTTTAAAACTTAGCTTGTTTTCAATGGACAGCAATAATTTCTATTGTTTATGGCATTTCATTTCAGTACATTGTTGCAGTTATTTGGCTGTTTGCATCTGTGTGTGCAGTTTCTGTTCTCTTTGGGCTTTATGACTATAACAGAGGTGATGCCATGTCACAGGAGTTGAGTTCACTTTACACAGCACTAGCACGTACTGTCTGGGCCCTCAGTGTTGGCTGGGTTATCTATGCTTGCTCTACTGGTTATGGAGGTGAGAATTATCATGTTTTTTTTAATTATATACAAGTCATTAAAAGCAACCAAAATAAAAACAAAACTCATATGCAATATATTTTTTAATATATTGTTGTGATATACTTATAATTCTTTGTATTCATTCAGTTAATTATTTAATACCTTCTACTTATCTGCATACGAACTGTTGCGTGATTTCGCGTTGGTTCATGTCGCGTGATCTTGTGTTTATAAATAATGGTGGGACGCCTCTATCTGGCATCCGTTTGTTCATACCTTCTATGTAACTGGTAACAATGTATGCTTTTTATGTTGAATAAAACCTTAATATTCAACTTTCTGAAAAGGTCTCTTTTCATCACAATTTATTCAACATAAAAAGCAAAAAAAGAAAAAAAAAAGAGGAAAATAATGGATACTATTCTGAGACCCGGTCGATTTGAGGGATCGTCGGAGACAACCGCTGATGAATGGAATCACTGGTATTGTACTCTTGTCAATTGCATCGACTCTCTGACAGTAGCTCACCCTGACAACCCTCCTAACAAGCTCAGCATATTAATTAATTATATATCACCTAGAGTCTATTCCTTGATATCAAACTGCACGACATTCGAGAACGCCATTAGTATTCTTCAATCTACTTATGTCAAACCAGTTAATTCTGTATTTGCTTGTCATCTGCTCGCCACTGTAAAAAAGAGCAGCCAGGTGAATCTATTGATCAGTTTCTTCTAACTTAAAAAAATCTTTCCAAGGATTGCAAATTTGAAGACGTCACTGCTTCTCAGCATGCCGAACAAGCAATAAGGAATGCTTTTATCACAGGCCTCGCTTCCCCAGTGATATGGCAGAGACTACTAGAAAGCTGTGAAATTAATTTGGCAACCGCGAGAAGTCTCGAAATGACCCAACACAATGCCGCAGCTTATGCCACTTCGTCAGTTGTAGCAAAAGCATCAATTTATCCAGAAGAATCAAGAAATAATTCTACAGATGAATTAACTAAAGAATGTGCTGCTGCTACCAGAACTAATCAAGCACTTCGTTACGCCAAATGTCAATTCTACGGGCGTGAGAATCATTTTCGATACAATTGCCCAGCAAGAAATGCTGACTGCCTTTCGTGTGGGAAAAGAGGCCACTTCTCCAAAGTCTGCCGGTCTAAAAGAAGAGCAACTTCACCTAATATAAAAGCCAGCACAGCTTTTATTGCTCTCACAGCTTCATCCCAATGCACACCCCGCACACAATACTCCATAGTAGTTGCAACTATAAGCAACACTCGTCTGAAAGCTATGGTAGACAGCGGAAGCACTCATAATTTCATAAAGTTGAACGCCGTGAAATCACTTGGCCTTCCTATACTACCTTCCAGTGACACAGTAAGTATGGCTTCCTATCGCAATAATCTCACGAGCAAAACCCAAGGTCACTGTATTGCATCTATCGATGAAAATAGAATTAATGGACAAACATACCCTGATATGCATCTGTCTGTTCTTCCCCAACTTATGTAAGGCCTGACATTCTTGGACAAGAATTCATGCAACTCACACAAAAATGTGGAATTCCTTTTAAACGGAGATATACCTTTTCAACAAGTTTACAAATCTGTAACACCGCCAGATGAAAATAGAGCCACTTGCTCCTGCCTTGCCAATTTATCAGATGACTAAAAAGCCAATTGCAACAAAGAGCAGGAATTACTCTGCATCTGATCGCGAATTTATTCGGAACGAAGTACAGAAGCTCTTAAAATAAGGGATAATAAATTAACTCTAATTCCCCATGGCAAGCCCAAGTCTTGGTGACTCATAATGAAAGGCATAAGCGTCGTATGGTCATTGACTATTCTGCCACGTATCAATCGCTATACTTTCCTCGATGCATTCCTTCCAAAAATTTCAAACATTATACGCCATCTATTTCACATAAGATTTTCAACAAGGATTTGAAGTCTGCATATTGTGGGGGCCGTAGCTGTTGTTGTTGATAGAAGTCAGAAAAATTTCAAATATACAAATATTTATAACAAGTTACAATACATGCCATCTATCTCAATATAAGATTTTCACCTACACAAGTTAGATTTGAGATAGAGGCGAAGGGTCTGCATATCAAGCCAATGAGAGACCCTATCCTGAAGGAGGAGTAAACCCGACAATATCACCAATGGAGGAAAAGAATTTATACAGCCTTCGAAGCTGACGGAGGCCTGTACGAATTTTCTCGGTTACCCTTTGGATTAACAAACTCTGTAGCTGTATTTCAACGTATCATGCATAACATAATCTGAGAACATGAACTTAAAGGCATCTTCACCTATATTGATGACATTGTCATTGGGGGAAAGACAAATAAAGAATTGAATGAAAATATGAAGGCATTCAAAGAAGTTGCTGATCGTCTCAATTTGCAACTGAACCCTGATAAATGTGAGTATGGCATCACCAAACTTAAGTTTCTGGGGCACCTGTTGGAGAATGGAACAATCAGTTCTGACCCAGACAGACTTACACCACTCAAAGAACTACCGACTCCGAACTGTGGTAAGTCACTCAAACGAGCTCTGGGTCTCTTCTCATACTACTCACCATTGGTGGAGAATTTCACTGACCGCATTTCATCTTTGCTAAATATCTCCTCATTTCCTATTGCTGAAGAACTCAAGAGTCAATTTCAGGCAATAAAAGATGAAATTTGCAAGGCTTCGGTTGCGACCATTGAGGATAAAGTTCCATTCACAATAGAAATGGATGCATCTGCGACGGCATTGGCGGCCTGCCTCTCTCAGAATGGACGCCTAGTAGCATATTTTTCTAGAACTCTTACGCAATCTGAGCGTTGACACTCAGCAGTGGAGCGTGAATCGGCAGCCATTGTAGAATCTGTTCGTAAATCTTTTACTCGGCCGATATTTTACTATCGTTACAGACCAACAGGCCGCCTCATATATATCCAACACACGGACACCAAACCGTATTAAAAACGATAAGCTACTTCGATGGAGACTTGAACTTTCTAACTACTCTTATGATATTGTATACCGACCAGGTTCATTTAATAGCTCTGCAGATACTCTTTCCCGTTCATGCTCTGCTTCTTGTTCATTATCACTAAAACATCTTCACGCAGCACTCTGTCATCCAGGAGTGACGAGACTGTATCATTTTGTTAAACAAAAGAATCTGTCTTTCTCTATGGAAGATGTTAAACATATCTGTGCTGAATGCCAAATATGTGCTGAAATAAAACCAAGGTTTTTCAGACCTCCTCCTGGTCGCTTAATCCATTCTCGATCCCCTTTTGAACACCTTGCTATTGATTTCATGGGCCCAAAACCATCAACAAATAGTTTTAAATATCTACTCATGATCGTAGATGAATACTCGCGCTATCCTTTCGTCTATCCATGCCAAGACATCTCAACAGGAACTGTAATAAAATATCTCCAAAATCTCATTACCTTCTTTGGCTGCCCAGATTCAATCCATAGTGACCAAGGGAGCCAGTTCGTATAATCTGAACTGAAAGAGTTTCTCTGTCAACATGGCGTTGTAATTACCCACTCAACACCATACCATCCAATCGGCAACGGACAATGTGAGAGGGCAAACGGAACAATATGGAAAACGATCAAACTTGCACTCAAGACGAGGCAACTGAATGAACATCATTGGCAAGCTGTACTCGACATTGCTCTGCACTCAATTCGATCTCTCCTTTGCACAGCAACTAACACAACACTACATGAAAGATTGTTCAATTTTCTGAGAAGGTCGGGTACCGGATACACCCTACCTGAATGGTTGCAAGGAGGTCCGGCACTGCTAAGAAAGTTTGTCCGTCAACACAAGCCTGACCCACTAGTGGAACCGGTGGAAATAATATCAGCAACTCCCAATTTTGCGAGAATTCGTTTCCCTGACGGCCGTCAGTCAACAGTCTCAACAGAAGACCTTGCCCCCACTCCTGTTACTGACCCATCGCTTGTACATTCGGATTCTCCTGTTTTCACTGATCACTGTGAGTCATCGAGTTCTACTCCATCAAATAACAATGAACCGGAAATATCTACTGACCAACAAGAAACCCCAACAAATGGGGAATCCTCCACTTCAGTTGGCGAAACGAAGTCTTGGGATATAGAACAGCAGCAGCGGTCGCACTTAGAGAAGGATGCTCTGGGATTTCTTCCCGAATCATCAAGACGAGGACGAAAGATCATCCGTAACCCGAAGTATCAATAAAATGTAGCGGAGAGTGTTGTGATATACTTATAATTCTTTGTATTCATTCAGTTAATTATTTAATACCTTCTACTTATCTGCATACGAACTGTTGTGTGATTTCGCGTTGGTTCACGTCACGTGATCTTGTGTTTATAAATAACGGTGGGACGCCTCTATATTTCTCTCTGCGTTCGTTCGTTCATATCTTCTATGTAACTGGTAACAGTGTATGCTTTTTATGTTGAATAAAACCTTAATATTCAACTTTCTGAAAAGGTCTCTTTTCATCACATAAGACCTTTTTTCAGTTAGGGATTGCAGTTTACACTTTTTACAATGTTGCTTAATAATTAAAATATGTGATGAAATTAAATTTTTACTTTTGAACAAACTTAGCTTGTTAAATATGTGTACTGAAAGTTTTTGAGAAGAGACAAAGATTTAAACTTTGCAAAATCCTTAAATGATTAAAAGCAAGAAATCTTTATAAGAATATATTTTAAAAAGCTGGATATACAGTAATGTGCAAAACTCTTTGGCCATTTTAAACCATTGTAAATTTCTAATAATTGCCATCTTATAAGTGGATGTCTTTTATTGAAAGTCATATTGGTGTCATTTTTACACCTAATTATCATATTGTTTTAGCAGGGGTTCTGAAGTGACACATGAGATGCGAGATGAGCCCTAAAAATGACTGTGCTAAAGATTTTGCCCACCGCATATGAACCAAGTCAGATGCTGTAATAGAAATTTATATAGTGTTGATTTCAAAAATTTAATGCACATTGGTAATACTTTGTGTGGCCTCCTGTAGCTTGAATAATTGCTTCAGTGTGCCTGGGATGGGATGAATACAAATCTTTTATCGTCTTCACAGATACTAGATACCATTTCATGTGATTGGGATCCAACAACTCAAGATTGTGTGGATTCTTTTAATGAATTCTACTCATTTGTTCTGTTAACATTTTATTCATGATTTAAGTCAGATCTCTAATCTGGACAATCTTTCATTCCTGTGATATTCATCAATCAGTCTCTTTTGTGTTGCATGATACCATAAAGCTGAAAAATTTCATCTTCTGGTACCAAATTTTTCTTCAGCAACAGGATGTATTTGAAATTATTGAAGTTATCATCAATTTTAACCAATTTTCTAGAACCATCTCTTTTTATGAAGCCCTGAAGTATCAGACTATTACACACAAACTTCAGTTTTCATTGTACAATGTGGATCATTTCACTTGCATGTTGTCCTGACAAATTCACACTTATTAGCATGTAGCTCCATCTTTGTTTCATTGCTAAATGTGATTTTATCCCAAGAATCTGCATCCCACAGTTCAAACCAATTTGACCAACAATGTGCTTTTTGTTTAGAGCTGGTTTTTTCATTGAAATGATCCTCTTCATTTCATGTTCTTGAAATATATTCTTAGCATTATCTACTGATATAAAACTGAACAAGTTACACTCAGCCATTACTTGACTATCAGTCTTTTTCACTGAGCTTTTTCCTATCCTGATCAGTTTCCATATTATCCTAAGCTGCAGCTTTTAAAGGCAACCATAGTCTGGTCGATTCAAAACATTTCCAGTGCTTTGAGACTTAGAAAGGATTTTTGAAATACTGATTTGTGACATCCAAAGTTATTTAGTGATTGCTCCCCGTTTCATATTCTTGGCCATCTTTAATATTTTCATCTTTTTTTTTTCGAGTAATGAAAGAATAGAAGAATTTGATGACACAGTTTACCCTATATGTAGAAAAAAAAAATCAGTCTTGTTCAGAAAAAAATAATTGCTTTTTAGCAGTGGAACAGAAAAAAAGAAATGGTCGGGTAGCTGAAAATTTTGCACAGCTTTTTTGGACATTGTCTTGTTTCATACTCCTTCAGAACCCCTGCTACAAAATATGATAATTAGGTGTGAAAATGACACCAATATGGCCAAGGTTTCATCTGTAGGCAGCACAATAAAAAACATCCACTTATAAGATGGTAATTATTAGAAATTTACAACAGTTTAAAATGTATGAAACCATTGCATGATACAATACTAAATGCTTTTAAAAAGAATGTAAAATTTTAAGTTTTTACTGCAATGATTTGATATTGTTAATCAACAGAAAAAGTTTTTAATGTTTTAAAATTTGCTTAAGTGTTTTACACAAAGCATCAAATTACAAATAAACCAGTAAAGTTTTTATTTTAATTTTACTTTCTATGGTTCACAGAAATTTAGTAGATGTTCCTAAAAAGATAATTTCCATTTCAAAGGGCCTATAATTTCCAAACCACTTAGAATAAAAGCAAATTTGTTTATTTGGATGCAAAACTGCAGTGATACCAAATTTCATCAGATTTATGAAATGCCAAATTTGGCAAAACCATGCTTGCAGCCTGACGGTTCATTCTGTTAAAGAACATTTTTAACTTCAGGCAGAAAGAAGCACAAACACAATGCAATATTTTTGTCATATCATCTTTAGATATATAAGAATACTTGGTAAAAATATAAAAACTTTTTAACTGTCTACATGATGAAATGTGGACAGGAAAATAGGCAATTTTGAGGACATTACAAAACAAAAAATCAAGCCCATTTCAAACAACTAATCTGGTATTCCTGTAAGAGTAATAAATAGTTACTGTATACATATACATATATAATATGTTATAAATAAGTACTTTATTTAACACACTATTTTAATAGGACACTCAAACAGGACATTTTTCACTTTTTAACCATTTTCAGGGCATCAGAAGATAAAAAGTATAGAAAATATACCTGATCTGATTACAAATCATCATCACAAACTTTTAAAGATATTCATGCTATTTGAAAGGAGTGATGAATATCAGAATTTGGACAAAAGACTCATTTAGCAATATGTGCATAAATTAAATAAAATTTCAAAGATCTTTAAATTCAAACCTATCAAATATACAAAGCTAATATTTGGAATTTTTACCAAAACATGGGAATTTTTCAGAATCTGAGAGAATATTGAAATTATCCTAAAATCCTGAACTGCTTCATTCCCTTATTTTCATAGCTATTAAGCATTTCCCAAATCACACTCAATGATGGGCTTACAAGAAAAGCAAGCAAAATTTCAAAGATATTCTATTTTAAAACTATTTGAGATATACATCTAATATTTGGAATTTTCCTGAATTTTTTTGTAGAATCTGAGAGAGTGTCCTTTGATATTGAATTACTCAATATATTTTCATTAAAATGAACATTTAAATACAAAAAGGTATGTTGTTACTGCAATCATTCCTTGGAAACCTCAAATTAATTTGGAGATAACTATCTCTACTTTGGGAATCATTGCTAAAATTTCAACCTGTATCCTATTGTTTTCTCAATGCATGAGTAGTATGAGGAATTTGCACTATTTATATTCAGACTATTGTTCTCATCTTTGTTGTCTTTATCACAATGTTTTGGCCACCTAATAGGCCTAGCATAGAAATAAATACAATATTGGAGCCACTAATAAAGAAAAAAGACAGATGACATCTGGTCTCCAAAAACATGGGCAGCAGCAGCAGTAGCCACAGCAACAGCAGCAGCAGTTAGAACATAACAGCCAGAAGCAGCAGCAGTCAGAACATGACAGCCAGCAGCAGCAGTGGCACTGACAGCCTAAAGTTTAAAGTTTACTCCAGCAAATTCAGACAATGGCCTAGTGGATAAAAGCATTGATCTGTGAATTTGGTGAAATAGTGATTGTGAGTTCAATCCCTGGATCAGGTAGTATGTACTTGCACTCAGTGGAAATGGGTGAGCAATAACTGAACAATGCTAAATAAAATAAGAACTAAATGACATCCTTGAACAGTGATATGATATCAGTCTACCCTCATAGCTTAAATAAAGTGTTCAGTTTGGAATTCCTGGAGGGCACAACAGCTGAAACATTGTGAAAGAAACAACAAAAATGAGGACAATAATCCAAATATAAATAGTGCAAATAATGACTCCTCATCTCAGAAATTCAGACAAAAATTAATGACCATATAATTTATATGGGCACAGTGGTTAGAATGTTTGCTTTCTGACCATGAGACCTCAGTTTGAATCTCACCATAGATAATTTGTCGCAAAGGTAACTTCTTGATTTTAACAATTGGGGAGGCAATCCTAGTGAGCAGCACCTTTGAAAAGTTCCTGAAAAACCAGACTATAGGTTGACCCAAGCTTTGTAAGTTAAATTAGGTAGACAGAACTGTTCAAAAGCCATTAATGGTTGTACTAGCATGAAATCACCAAATCATCATGACCGAGGGTTTGAGTGTACTGGTGTTGTTCAAACTGCTGATCATAACAAATTATGCACTCTCTCCCAGAAACTGTAACTAAGGTCCACTCAGCATAGTTACAGTATAAATGTGCCTGAGCAGGTGTCTGGTACAGGGATTGGTTAACTGCTCTGATAGACAGGCATGCTTGGAAAATGAGAATAGCCAGCCATTATTATAATTTAGATGATTTCTGAACCAAATATTGATACCTTATTTGAAAGTTTCTCGGTCTTAATTCTCAGCAACCCCACTTCAGTTTTATTTCTTTTCTGATGTGCATGAATTGAGTTTATGTTATTCATTATTACAGGAATTTTTTCTTTTATTTTGTTTTTCCTAAACTAAAGTCTCTACATTTTTTTGCAGGTTTTGTGAATACAATATTATCTTGGAAAGCCTTTATCCCCCTAAGCCGTCTCACATACTGTGCCTATCTTGTACACCCAATCATTCTTCAGTCTTTTTATCTAAGTCAGAGATACACCATTTACATTACAGACTTTGAAATAGTAAGTAAACTTTTGATGTACATGTTAAGGCTTATTGTACTTTTTAAAATTACAGTAATAGTAGATGACTATTATTAATTTTATGGGGTAAAATTTGATTGGGATGTAATTTTGGGAGTTTGAAGCAATTTTCACTTTGTACAGAGTCTATAGAGTAAAAAAAAACTCTATACAAATATTCAAGTATTGATTAATATATTTTAGTGGTAGCATGTTTCTTAATTAATGTCTTCATTGAAATAAAAATTCCTAAAGTCATATTCAGCAAACAGTGAATTAATATTTATAAAATGGCATTCAAGCCAAGAAAAATTGGTATTCAACATTTTTTAAGATGAACTTATTGCATGCATTTTTAGACTATTACCTTTATCATAAATGAAACAATGCTTCAGTCATTTAGCCTTTAGCTTATCAAAAGTGTAAATTTCAGAGTCCAAAATAAATTCAGTATAACAGATATAAAACAATGATAGAGGATCTGTAAGGTAAAGGAAGCAGTAGATATGATTGAATGCAAACCAGATGTTACGATAAGCCAAGATGATTTAGGTATTCCTAAAAAAGGCAGGTTCTTGAAAATTTTCTGTTAGAAAGATTTTACCATAAGAAAGCATTGAAAGAAATTATTACTATAGGAAGTTATTGGAATATTATTTCATTATGAATTCACTAAAAGGGAAATGCAGTGGAAAAAAGATTTCATTATAAGAATTCACAGGAAGAGGATATTACTATAGGAATGTATTAGAAAGGAAATTTTACTAAAAATATGCATTTGAAAGTTATTTTACACAAGGAGTCTCTTGGAAGGATTTTAATATATGAAAGAAATACAAAGGGAATATTACTACAAGAATGAAAAATCTACTACAGGAATGCAATGGAATAAAGTTTTACAATAATAATGCATAAGTAAGAATTTTATGATTGGAATGAATTTGAAGATAATTTTCCTTTAGGAATGAATTGTAAATGGAAAATGCATTAGTAACAGCTTTTGCTAGAGGAGTGCACTGAAAAATTGACTTTTCTTGACTATTTTATTATGCACCTGTATTTAACTTTTACTTTGTAGGAATTTAATTTTTCATTTTTGACAATTTCTCATCATTAAATATCAAATATATAACCTTAATACACAATCCTGTGGTTCCATTCATCTATGATCTTTGAATTAAATAAAATAAAAATAGTCATTTTCAAAACCTGTTCATATAATATAAACCAGTGAATATTGCATGCATAAAGTATTGTACTAAAAACAACTAAGATGAAGATAATTGTTCAAAATGTATGAATTAATTAAAAGCCAGTCAGGATGAAAGCAAGAAAATTCTGGTGGAAGTGCAAATCAATTGTCAGAACTGGGTGTAGGGTGGAAGACAAATTGATCCAGCTAATAGATGGTTCTCTCGAAAGTTACCTTCAAGATAGCTGGCATTTCCATTCAGTAAAGTGAGCAATTGGAGGCTCTGGGGTTGTTCACAGCCTCAATCTACTCTTGAGCTCAGAATGGGTCAACTCTCCTGAACATGGAGGCGTCCATCGCTTCATATTCATAGAAACAAATGCAAGTGCCAGGTGGGCCACTTTTGGTAGGCAGAACTGGTACTGTGAGATGAACCAAACATCTGTACTAATGCAATGCCCATGAGGTTCAAAAAAGGGTGTCAGTCAATATAGACAACAGGATGATGGACATGGAAGTCAGAATCAGTTTAGGAATGTATAACCTGCTGAACTGACCATACCTAAAAATGGATGGTGCTGGAGTGATGTAGGCAATGAGCACTGTTCAGCAGCTGATGCAAACTTTTATTTGCATGATAAAATGCAACTAACAAAGTTCAAAAACTATGTGAAACTGACTTGATCCTTGTGTATCAAACTCATCATGAGAGCTAGGCACAGTCGAATGGGGGACATGTGCTAGATGGTTGGGCTGGTGGGACATAGCCGAGTGGGTGACATGAGATGATTGTGTCAGTCAACAAGCAAGTCAGTTTCTGGATGGTGGCCTGCTTGGTCATATGACACATGCTGCCCTTGTGTAGGAAAATACAACATTCAAAAACTAAATTAAACTGAATGTCCACAGTGTGCTCCATTTGAAATTACTGAAAAAAGCAAAAGTTATCAAACAAATCGTTGCAATGCTAAGAAGGGGAGAGAGTCAGTGGCCAATTGGATGGGTTACATGCACTGATCAACTGGTTGGCTGGGCAGGCCATGGCTGATCGGGCAAGCCATGGCCAGGCAGGCAGCACACACTGATCAGTAGCTGATGTGCACCAGTTCTTGCTTGATAAAATACAATACTAGCTTTCTTAATTTCAGAAAAAAAATAGGAACAAGTTGATATCAACCATTATTCACTTTTTATGTATCTTTTAATTTTAATTTCAGTTGCTTTTTATTATGTGATTAGTATTAGATGTCATAGCTTTTGGATTTGTTACATGAAGCAAATTTGTTACATGAAGTCAAATGTTTCATTAAATAAATCCAAAGGCTATGATTAATTTTTGCCTAGTATTTCTTTCATTTTAATTTTAGCATAACTCTTCAGAATCTCAATCTATGTCTGTTAGTAAATTATTTAAGAAGAAAAACAACAAAAATTATAAGAAAAGAAATATCTCAAAAAATCATGTTTAACAATGCTTAATCTAATAAAAATTCAAGATAATATTTGGTTTAGATGTTGCAGATTTTGAAATAACAACTGCTTCAAATTAATCTAAAACATATTTTATACAATAAATGATGTCTTTCTTTTTGTGGCTCTTTTTACAGATGTATTTGTTTTTTGGGAATGTGATGCTGTCTTTTGCTGTTGCCTTTGTGGTGTCAATGACATTTGAAGCACCAATGATTTTACTGGAATCATTAATACTTGGTAAAAACAAGAAGAGTAACACATAATTTCAGGATATATTTTTTGGAAGCTGAAGTTGGAAATTCAAATACGATCACAAACATTAATCACTTGGAAAGAGAAGAAAAGAGACTGATGAAGAATTAAGCATTAAAACATCTGCATTGATGTATGAAGTTTGAAGTTATCACAAAACTAATTTAGCCCATCATTTAGCGAGTATTTACTAATGAAATGATTCATGAGAAACAATGACTGACAAACACAGACAGAGTATATATATATATATATATATATATATATATATATATATAGTGTGTAGATGATATGAATAGATAGATAGATAGATAGATAGATAGATAGATAGAAGATACCTAAATGTATAGATACATCTAAATTTAGATAGATAAATAGATCTATAAATACATAAATACATATCTATAGATAGATAAATAGATCTATAAATACATACATACATATCTACAGATAGATATATCTATAAATGCAGATATCTACAGATATAGATATTTATAGATATAGATAGATATGTCTATACATATAGATAGATATATGTATAAATATCTCTATCTATAGAGATATCTATCTATCTATAGAGATAGATATATCTATAGAGATAGATAGATCTATACAGAGAGACAAATAGATATATCTATAGAGATAGATAAATAGGTATATCTATATAGATAGATAGATATAGCTATAGGTAAATATATCTATAAAGATGGATGGATATATATATATATATATATATATATATATATATATATATATATATATATATATAGTGATAGAGTGATAGATATATCTACAGTTAGATATATCTATACATATATCTATAGAGATAGATGGGTATATCTATATAGATAGATAGATATATCTATAGAGATATATATCTATGTAGATAGATAGTTTATCTCTATCTATATAGATACATAGATAGATATAGATATATAGATAGATAAATAAGTAGAGACAGACAAATATATCTAGAGATAGAAAGATATATCAAGATAGATAGATCTATCTAGATCTATCTTGATATATCTATAGATATAGATAGATAGATTGATAGATATATCTACAGAGTTAGATATATGTATAGTTAGATATATGAACACAGTACATGTTCCCATTAAATTCAACCACGAAAATTTAACAACATCGCTAATATTTTTAGACAACTGCATCTACATTGATAAAAACAGAAGACTACAAATGACACTACACACTAAAATCACTGACACCCACAACTATCTACACTTTAAGTTTTCCCTCCCAAAACACCTTAAGCAGAACCTTCCCTATTCACTATCACTTAGACTCAGATGGATATTTTCTAACAATGAAGAACTAAGTAAACACACTAAAAATCTTGAGCATCAATTCACAACATGTGGCTATAAACAACACCTAATCAGGGAACAACTAAATAAAGTAATTTGCACACCTAGAGAAAATACCAAATTTATAAAATTAAAAATAAATCCAGATGCATCCCTTTAGTAACTACTTTCAACACCACTCTTCATTCACTATGTTCACTGAGAAATACTAAATCTCAAACCAAACCTAAAAACTTTGTTTGAGGAGCCTGGCCTTCTAGCATATCATAGACCTAAGAACCTTAAGGAAATTATAGGTAATAATCAAATTTCAGATGATAAGGCAACCTGTAATAGACCAAGAATAAAAACAACAGGATTTTCCCAACCATGTAACAACAAAAGGAACTGTAATGTAACCACATTATACATACCAATTTGTTTACTAGCTCAGTCACTAAATCTACTTTCAAAATCTACCACAACTCTCAAGTGATAACATAAATTACCTATTAGAATGCACACTATGCCAGAAACAATATGTGGGAAAATTTGAATGGCCCTTTCATTACAGAATTAATAATTATCAGAATTAGATCAAGTCAGATCCTCACAAAAGATTATTACCTGTAGAACAAAATTTCTGCCTAGAAAAACATGATTTTAAAAGCCATGCAAAATTCACTATGATTGAAAAAATAGAAATAGATAGAAAAGATAACGTTAGAAAAATACTAGAGGAACATGAAGACAAATGGATTTTGTGCCTCAAAACACTTTGTCCAGACAGGCTTAACCACAAATTTAACAACATAGATAGAATTAATATATAACCCCATAAATCAAGCCCTACCCACATTTCTCATGCACACAAGACAGACATGCTTGCAGAGGTGTTGAGGTCTCATTCACACAATGACACAAATATATACACACATCACACACACTCCCAAAGAATTAAATGATAACTTACACTTAACACACATATCCCATTCCCACCAACCAATAAACCTGTAAAATGACCAAGGAGGTTATTCTGAAAGTCGAGAATCTCCCATCTTCTATCTTAAAAAACAATTTGAAAGCGGTTGCTTGACCAACACAAGGGCTGACCAAAATTAACAATAAAAAAACAAATGAAAATTACAGATGAAGTTCACTTTCTTCAGAGACAGTCATTCACTCCTGTAGTTCGCTGCTACTAACAAGCAGGGATATTTTTCTCCTGGTGATGGCCATGCTAGCTGAAAACTAAGTTGAGGAACCTAATTGAAATAATAAAACAAAAAAATATTAATATACATCCCAGTGTGTCTGAAAATTTTAATTTTTTAATATTTTTTATTGTTCAAAACATATAGAGTTAGATATATCTATATAGACAGATATATCTATAGAGATAGACAGATAGATTATTAAGATAGTTTGATAGATATATCTATATAGATATGGTTTGATAGATATATCTAGATAGATAGATAGATATCTATAGAAATAAATATCTTTATAGAGATAGATATATCTACTGAGATAGTTTGACAGATATAACTATAGAGATAGATAAATAGATAGATCTATAGGGATAGAACTAGATAGATAAATCTATAGAGATAGATATTTACATATATCTATAGAGATAGATATATCTAGAGATAGATATTATAGATAAATAGACATATCTAGATAGATAGATGGATAGAGATGGATAGATAGATATATCTATAGAAATAGAGACAGATATATCTAGATATAGATAGATATAGATATAGATAGATTGATAGATATATCTATAGAGTTTTTATATATATATATATATATATATATATATATATATATATAGAGAGAGAGAGAGAGAGAGAGAGAGAGTTAGATATATCTATAGAGATATCTAGGTATATATATAGAGATAGATATATCTAGAGGGATAGATCTGCTGGAAAGATATCTATCGAGATAGATTGATAGATATATAGAAATAGATTATATAGAGAGATATATCTGTAGAGATAGATAGATAGATAGACAGACATGGATAGATATAAATAGATAGATATATCTATAGAGATAGAGACAGATAGATATATCTACATAGATATATCTGTAGATATATCTATAGAGTTAGATATATCTATATAGATAGATAGATAGATATCTATAGAGATAGATAATAAATAGATATATCTATAGAGATAGATATTATAGATAAATCTGTAGCGATAAATACATATATCTAGATAGATAGATAGATAGAAATAGAAACAGATATATCTAGATAAAGATAGATATATGTATAAATATAGATAGATTGATAGATATATCTACATTGTTAGATATATCTACAGATATATCTATAGAGTTAGATATATAACTATAAATATAACTATAGAGATAGATATATCTAGATAGATAGCTAGATCTATGGGAATAGATTGATATATCTGTAGAGATAGATAGATATAAATAGATATATTTACAGAGTTAGATATAACTGTAGATATATCTATAGTTAGATATATCTATAGAGATAGCTAGGTATATCTATAGATATAGATATATCTAGATAGATAGGCAAATGGATAGATAGATCTATAGAGATAGATATGTTGGAAAGATATATCTAGATCGATAGATCTATAGAAATAGATCAATATATCTATAGTGATAAGTAGTTAGATATATATATAGAGGGGGAGGTAGATCTATGGAGATAGATAGATAGATAGATAGATAGATAGATAGATAGATAGATAGATAGATAGATAGATAACATATGCTTAAACAACAAAAATTCATTCAGTCACATTTTATTAACATCAACTGATAAAGTCTGTTTAATTTTTCATAACATTTTCCAGTTTGCATATATGCCATCATGTATGCAGATCGAATTTATGGATAAACTGTTCAAAGTGTTTTTGTTTCATAATTTTTGACCATCCATACAGTCATTATCAGGAATTTTAATGTTATCTTTATCTTAGAGAATATTATTTATTAACTTCAATCCAGGCATTTTTAAGAATACTAGGTTTCTATTTTAAATATATTTTTATCACTTTAAATGTTATTTTTAGTGCTTTAAATTTATATATATCATATAGGATAGTTTGTAACTATATGTAAAGAGTGTACATTCTAAATGTTTTAAAATATTACTTTAGTAAAATTTACTAAACACTAGCAGCATGGCCCGGCATTGCCTGTGCTTGATTCAAAAATCATATGACTCATACAGCAATCGCTATCACTTGACTTAAAATATTTTTGCCCTTCCTTGCCTTTAAAGGAGTGCCCTTTGCCATGCTGATGTTGCTACATGCCTTACTTCTTGCCTATCTCACACTGCAAATTTTTTCTAAACATTAAATCTGTTACGAAAAAAGAACTAAACAAAATGAACACAAAACAATCAGCTTTAAAAAAGGACTCGTTACTGGAAAAAACGAATGAAAAAAGAATGTTAACAACAAATACTTTTTCACACCCAACCCAGTTCTGTGGAATCAGAATCAATGTTGAGTTTAAGCAAGCGAATGAACCAATTGGAGTAAAGTGCCATGCAGATTTAAATTTTTCCCACTTGTGACGAATGCAGCTATCGATTTTTTTGCATGCTAGCATGCTAGTTAACATTTGTGTCAGTCAGCTGTTGGCTCTCCTGCTGGCCAATAGAATCTTCCTGCCTATTCATGGCAGCCAGCTATAGGCTCTCACTCTGGCCAGTACAAAATGGCCACAAACTACATGAAAACTGCTGTAGAAGCATGAAAAAATTGATTATTTCCACTATCGATGGGAGTTGGGAAATGCAAAGTTGGTCTTGGCCTTTCCACTAACTTGGAGCAAGTGCATGTAAATTTTGGTGCAAATCCGTCGAAAATTGCGGCCGTGCATTCGTTACACACCCTTTTATAGATAGAGATGATAGTACTTGAGGATGAAGATATTACATTTTTTTCAATACATTTTAAAATGCCCTCCCTACACTAAATATAATATCTTTTACTTCAAGGTGAAAGATATTATATTTAATGTAGGATGTTTCTAATGATCAGTTCAAGTATTTTGAGTCAATGTTTACTAATATTTGTCTTATGGTCATATTTTGTTTTTATGTGATAATATGTATATGAATCAGTTTTACTAGGTGGCAATTTAACCTAGAATAGAGTGTAGTGGTCATGTGACAAATGTAAGAATTTAATGTTGTTTTTGATTATTGGCATTGGAGAAGCAATCTCCCAAAGAGCATAAGAATTCATAAGCAACAT